TGCTGTGTGTGGCAATGAGATGCAAAGGAGGCTGGAGCAGAACAGCCATCCTACATTAATGGGTGATATAGGAGAATAAGACAAAGTCAAAGCCAATACATGTTTAGCAGTAAGTGCTTGAACTTAGGGAGAGAGTTTTTTTTTTGTTTTTTTTTTTTTTATATTGAGAGTTTGATGCAGCAAATGCTCAGCAGAGTCTGTGCAGTGCCTGTTGTGGAGGGGCTGTGTGGAAGCACTTACTGTGCTTAGGACATGGTCTGCCTGGGAAAGCTGCTTTGAGTCCAGGAGACCTAGCCTGTTCCTGTGGGAGGCAGTCAGTCCAGATGCTGACCCTGCCCAAGTCTGGGCTGTGCTCTGGGTTTTGGATTGAATGAGCTTGGGATTCTTATAGTGCACTCTGTTAGGTGATGTGGTTGTGCTGCTGTATCTATGTGGAGAGAGGGATATCCTCTTAGGAAAGGCAGTGGAGCTGCCTACATCTAAAAGCCATTAAAAAAGTGAAAGGGAAGAATATGTAAACTTAATGTTAATTCTCAGATTTCTCCAGATCCTATTTGAGAGCCTGTGAGGGCCTTTCCAGCGAGGGATGAAATTCACTCTGGATTCCGTAAGCTCCTTCAGGTCTGTAAGCCATGTTGGTTGAAGTTTTCTGTTTTTATTCTATACAAAGACTTTTTTGCTGGTTTATTTTCTGCTGGGGCAGTCCAAGGGTATTTCTCAGCACTCTTCTTTCACAGTAATACTGCCATCCAAAATAGAAGCATTGTGTCTGGCTTCACGGAAGGTCTCAGCTCTCTTTGAAGCTCTGTTGGAAGCTTTTTCATTCCCTGGCTTTTTAGACTTTAAAAAATAGAATATCTTGGCTGGATACCTTTTGCTCGAGCACAGAAGTGCTCTTCTATGTTGGTGTTTGAACTGTTCCTTGGCCTGCATGCGTGCATTAGTAATGTGTGCTGTTTGATTTCATAGCCACAGCTCTGCTTGTCCATCTTCGGCTTCCTACACGTATCTCTGGGTGACAGTCACAGCTGTTTGCCTTGTCCAGGTGTGCATGTATTTCAGAGAGGTGACGGGTTGTTGAGCTGGTTTATTTTAAATGTATGAGGTATGGTGTGCTCTGCCTGCTAAGCAGCTGCCAGAGTCTGATTGGTAGCAGCCTGAGCTCCAGCAGAGCAGCGTGCAGAATCTGCAACATTTCTGCTTTATTGAGCCCTGAGAGGACTCTGTGAGGACTGAAAAGAGGGCTCACTGCCTTTCCTCAGATGGACCTTCAAGCCCCTTCCACTCCACTTCTGTAGGTTGCTTTCTTTTCCCTTTTTTCTCTTAAGGGAGGAAAAATAGCCACTTCCTCAGAATTGTGCCTGTTGACTTTAACTCTCTTGAGCCAAAAGGACTCCAGGTAGCTATATGTCAATAAAAGTTCACAGGTTCTCTGGTCATTCTCCATCCCTCTGTGACCCTTAGAGTCATGTACCCCTGTTTTCCATTTAATCCCTAGGCAAGTATGTTTATTGTCAGTAAAAGCAGAAGCTTTCTTCTCTTTAGACGTTTCCTGAGGCTACATCTTTCTTCAAGGGTTATACTTAAAAGCAAGCCGAAACTCTGAAAGGTCTGTGTCTCCTCAAACAGAAGTGCTTGAGGATGATGTGCAGGAGAAAACAAAACCCGACCTTCCCCTTGGATGCCTCCCACTTGGCTTTTGGCAGGAAGCTCCAGCTTAGAACTGCGGAACCCTAAGATTCTCTAAGGCCATCTAGTCCAATTGCCAACCCATGCCCACCGTACCCACTGACCACATCCCTCAGTGCCACATCTCCACACTTCTTGAACACCTCCAGGCACGGTGACTCCACCACCTCCCTGAGCAGCCTGTGCCTGACCATTCTTTCTGGGAAGAAATTTTTCCTAGTATCTCTAATAATTCACCATTGTGCTGGCTGCCCTGCATTGCAGCCCCATGACGTCACTGGAAGAAGTCACATGAGGCTCCTGCGAGTAACAGCACAGCATGACTTATGAGGATGTGGCTATCTGGAATCCCAGGTGGGATATGAGCAGCAGGTGTCTGACAGACCTGCTGGTCATCACCTTGATGTAGTGTCCCCAGCTGGGGCTGGAAGCTGGCTGAAGTTCAGTGCCATGTTGCATTCTTGGGAGGAATTTCCACAAGGATTGGCAGATCCACAGCAGGGGAAGCTTTGCTCTGGGCAGGGGTGCAGCAAAAGTGATGCTCAGTGCCCCAGCAGCCCCAGGAGGAGTGCTGGGGGCAGCGGGAGCTGTGTGAGGCTCAGCTAAGTGGCACCAAGATTTATGCTACAGTAATTCCTCCTATTATTTGACTTGGTCCTGCATGGTCTGAAAAGCAGGAGTGTTTCCTGGAAGGCTGAAGGGCCTTTTCCCACTTAGTGGTTGTTTCTTTTTTTTTTTTTTTTCCTCATTGCTTTTCTCTGACTGCCCTTTGTCTGCCTTTGGGATTCTTTAAATATGCTTTGGCAATGCATTATCTTCCTCAGCAAGTGTGTCAAGCTGCCTTTTCCAGCACAGTGTGAGGATGCAGCGACCGAGAGCACATGGTACCAAGGAATAGAGGAGCTGTGCCTCTCTCCTGTGTACTGCCTGGTTTTGCAGCAAATCACTGCACACTCAACTTGCCTGCTAGCAGAGTAAGCAGAGCTCTTGCTGTGCATGCTTTGAAGCCCTGGTAGCATCTGACCAGAATCTTTCCTGTCCCATGCGTATGTAGTTCAGAAGCAGAGCGTCTCCAAAGTCAGTGTCAGCCAATGTCTTCCTGTGTCAGCATCCGTTTTCTTAGAGCCAGCCCTGTGCTCTCGAATCCCTCTGACTTAGAGGGGCTTAACAAAAAATTTCCTGCAGAAAATAATATATAACCCCATTCAAATAGCCAGAGCAGGCTTTATGCTTTCCTCTTCCTGCTACTGCTTTACTTTAAATGCCCTTTCAGCCAGAGCACTTAGTGAGACGTTTTGAAGGGCGCCTTTGTTCTGCATGCAGAAATGTGACTGGTGAGCAGCGGAAAACCTGTCAGAGCTCTCCAGGTGCCCATGGTTTGAAGGGACAAAGGCAGTTTCTTGTGAATTGTGACATTGTTCTGTAGGATTAGTACGGTTGTCTTTGAGAATGGGTGTACAGTGGCTGCTTTGAGAGCAGCTCTCTTAATTAATTGTTTGATACCGATCTTGTTTCTTTTGTAATTTCTTGGAAAGCACTGAGGTTTTACTGAGTCCATGCTGCTAAGGGTAATAGGAAGGTTATTTAAACCAAAGATTCCTTGTGTGGAAATAGCCATGTTTTCTGCGTCATCCGGCCTGTTCTTAGCCAGTATCAGAAGCAACCTAAATCTTTCCACCACCTCAATCATTGGGAACAGGAGACATTGCCATGTCTGCATTCCCCTCACTCCTTTCTTTGCTCTCTGGTAAATGCGAGGTGAAAGTTGGATGAAGAAAGTGATCAGAGACAAAAAGAAAACAAACCCAAAACAAAATGAAAACATCAAGTAAGTTCCTTAAGAGCTCTATTAATGGCAGTGATGACTTGTTTTCCCCAATTGCTCTATGAATTATTATTAAAATGTTAATTTATGGAGGCATTAAGAACACTTCAGAGTGTATTGGTCTCCTGAGAAGCTCCTGGATCGCTGGCGATGTATCTGAGCTCTCCAGCCTTCTCCTGGCAGCTCTGATTACCTGCTGCCTGCTTGTGTGATCTCTGAGCCATGTGCTCCTCTGCTCACTGAATTTTTCCTGGCTGTGTTTGGCGTTTGCTTTGTGTGTGGTTTCTCTGCTGACTGGGGGGAGGGTCTGTGGCCTCGATAGGTAGATGTGGCTGGGGGAGCCTTTCCTATGCAGGTTGGGCTTTGCTCTCTCCAGCCTCTGACTCCTCCAATTGTAGCCAGAGATGACGATGTTGCAGCCAGTTAACTGGGCAGCGATTGTGTCATGTACTGGCAGAACTACAGCATGTTCTCTGGTGTCATGAAACAAAAAAGCAGGTTGCTGGAAAAGGCAGAGAAAACTCTCTTCTGTTCCTGGTAAGAGCGGGTGAGTTATCGTGCTGTGGCATCATGCTCTTCCAGTGTTACAAAACCCACCTCCATCTGCAACGGAATGGCTGCAATGTTCTTCTTCCTGGTGATGCTGACGGAGTCGCATCCTTCTGGGGAAATGTGACCACAGGACTGTCCTGGGAACACGTTTTTGGGGCAAATCACAGATTTTTTCCTATCTGTATTTCAGCATCACAGTGCTGGTGGCATTGAGGGATCTCAGCCCCTTCTGCTGCCCTTCCCACCCTTGAGAGCTGTCAGAGAAACCAAGGAGCCCCTTCCACTAATAGGGGAATCACTAATAGGGGAACCACCATGATCTGACAAGCTCTATATTTCTCCTCACTGAGACGATCTGCTCTGGAGAGGCTGGACTGAACCAGAAGTAAATCCTGATGTTTATAGCTGGATAGAGCAAGAACCAAGAACTGCCCCCACAACGTGGGGATTTTAGGTATCTTGCCTGGGGGAATGAAGCCCCACTGGTTCTGAGACCGCTGAAAGGAGTGTACTCTTTGGAGCAGTTAATGGAGGTAAATATTAGCTCACCACAGAGCTTGGGTATCACTGAGTGAAATGGAGTTTATTTTGGCCTCAGGCCACATGAATGGCCTTGATGTAAATGAGAGGAACTCCAAAGTCAGGGCTGAGTTCAGACACATTTGTACAAAAAGAAGGACGGAAAAAGTGGAAAAGAAGGTTAAGTTAGGACACACTGTTCATTAATCTAATGGCAAATGGAGAATGAACCATGAGATATCTGTTAAGGAAATGATTTCCCCTCCCCTCCCAGTCTTTACTGCCACTGTTTCAGCATCTCAATTCCCAAATGTTACTGAAATACCACCAAAGGTGCAGCACACTGGTTCTTTCTCCCCAGTCTGATGACAGAAAGATATTCTATCTTTTCTAGAGTTTTCCAAAGGATGGATGCCCTTCATCTTCATTCCTCCCTATGGGTGCTTCCTATGTGTTGGTGGTTATAGGTGGCAGCAGTGAAGGCCACTTGAGTTTGGATGAAGAAAGAAGAGGATGACCAGCTCCCAGCTGCTTCCATCCCTGCTACCTATAGAGTTCAAGTGCAGCCTGCTGAGTGGGGAAAAGTAGGCTTGCTTCAGATTCCCTTTGTCTCTTAGAGATGAGCCCAACCCAGGGGAAAATTGTACAAATGATTTTTTAATTCATTGGAAAGGAAGGATGAAATAACTGCTGCTGAGCTTTGAGTGGTCTACACACTCCATTCTTGTTAGTACGAGCAATCTGTGTGATCTTAGCTGCTCTCTGCCTCTGTTTGAGATCCTTCTCTATAATGTGCGTGGTATATAAAGGCTTGTGAGGAACATGTTTAAGGGTGGCTTCACACCTTGCAGCTGGTTCCCTGTCAGGAGCATGATTCTGTCAGTGGCACTGTGCTCATTACTGCACTGCCTGACTGAGCTTAGCTGTTTCAGGTTCAGCCTTTTAACCATGTACTGTCCCTTTGTAATCCAATGGTACTTTGCTCCACTAATGAGAGCATCTAGTACTTCAACTTTCATGAGTAGCAGCTTAAGTTGCATCTCTAGAAACGCAGGGAAGCTTTAATTCTAATGAGTGAGCAGCTCCGAGAGCTGAATGCCAAATTCCAGAGCACGTGGCAAGTGGAATTGGCAGCGTACGTTTATCTCAAATTACAGGGAACTGTACTCTGCAGCAGGAGCTGGAAAGCTGGGGATTTTCTGCTTGCCTTTGGGTGCTGCACTACAAGCACAAATGTTTGTTCAGGTCACTGCCGAAGCGCATGTTGAGTCTGGGACTCGTTGCTCGTACCCAGGAAGCATTGGATGGGGAATGATGTGCAGCCTCATCCTGGGGGCTCCCTGCAGGGCTGGGGCCATGCAGCTGGTATGGTGTAGGCGTTGGTTGCGTTGAGCTGTGTTTGGTGCAAATGTACTTCAGCACTTCCTGTGCTTTCTCTGAACAGTGAGCATGTGCACTGGCAGAATGAGGTCTCAGCATAGGACCTCTGTTTTTGGAGTCAAAGCTTAAGATTTATACCCTGCTGTGTGTATCAGGCAACAGCAAACTTATGGCTCGTGCTCTGTTCCAGTGACTTGAATTAGTGAGCTTGGAGTCCTCTTCTGAACTGTCACCTCCTGGGCTGCCTGCAGGCAGGACAACACTGCTATGAATTTCTTAACGAAATATAGAAAAACAAACATAAACAGCAAAAAGTACAAGAACTAAAAGATCTATGAGTGGGTGGAAGAATAAACACACATGCTCAGATTTTTTTTTTTTTTTTTTTTTAAATGCCTGCAGAGTTGAAATGTTGTGAAATAACCAGAGCCCTTGGTGTGCTTTGCAGGATGAAGATGGTCGATGCTGTGCTGCTGGTGACGCTGTGGCTGTGTGCGGTGCCCCTGCGCAGCGGCTCTGGTGAGTGCTCACATGGCTTGTTTGCAGGGCTGAGGGTGGTGTAGGAAAGCTGGCTGCAGCCCTTTGGAGTGTTTGTGTGGTTCCTAGGTGAAATGGCTGTGTGTAGAGTGCTTTGGCAAAGTGCACATATGCATGGGTTGGCTGCAGGCGTTGTGTAAGGCTCACACGCAGTGGCTGTGAGCACAGCGTAAATGGGTACGTAAGCAAACAGCAGCCAGCCCAGCCTCCGAGTAACGGTGCTTTGCAAATCTGAGCCCTCTGCTTGGTCAGCATTGTCATTCCCAGTCTGGAAGGGACAAAACCAGGCATGTGACAGCACCTTGTCACCAAGACACAGGCAGGACCAGGGTTCGAACCTAAAATTCGCTGTTCCTGCATGGCTCTGGAGGGGGCTGAAGTTCTGGCTCTCAGCTTCTGACTCATGCCTCAGCAACGTGAGGGGAAAGGGGAACTTCTTGGGTAAGAGGAGCTCTTGCAGCCGTCTCACTGAGTCACTTTCCTGACAGGAAATATGCTGTCATGCTCGCGGCTCCCCTGGCACGCAGTCAGCCGGGTGCTGGTGAAGAGGCAGATTGTGTGTGCCTCAGCTCTGGGCTTCCTCCTCGGGGGAGGAAGGAGGCAGCACGATCTGCAGAAGGCAAGGGGGAGGGAGGGGAGAAGGAACAAGCCGTGGCTTTGAGGGAACAAGGTTCAGAAAGAACCCTGGGGTTTTAACGGGTCTCCTGGGAGCGCTTGTCCCACTGCAGCACTGGCAAAGGAGCAGATAAAACACCCTGAGCTGATAAACAGTTATTGGATGATTATAATCTTGTACATTCCTGAATGATTAGGGATGATTTCATAGTAGGTACTGTGGTGCAGAGGCTGAAGGCTTTTCTCTCTGGCTTGCCTTAGGACTACAGGCCTGGGTCAGCTGCAGTCATCAGTAGGGTTAGAGCCCTTGTAGAGTGTTACAAGGATGTAAGCGTCAAAGGGTGATGCATGGGACATGTCCAGTTAAAGCACATTCCTTCAGCAAATCCACCATGTTTAATTTTCTGGAGGTCTGTGAATGGTGCAGAGTCCCCTTCTTCTTTGCATGTGTCTTAAACCACTTTGGGCTGTCAAAATGTGCATTGCTTCTGCTATTGGGCTTGCAGGACTCACTGTTTGGATGGAGGGCAGCCCTCTGTTATGCTATGTGGCTTGAGGCTGAAGCCCATTTCACCCTTGCAGAGCCACAAATAGTCTGTGGGAGGCTGGATGTACTCTGATAACAGTACAGCATTTGAGCTGTTTCATTCTTGGGGCCAGAGTAGTAGAATTTCAAGAGGGAACATGAGCTGGTATCCAAGCACTGCATAGCTGCAGGTGGGGCACTCATACCATGGCACTGACTTCCTGGAATATTTAAGGTACGTTCTGCTGAAGCTTTTCAGGTACTGTGGTGCCCATCTTCAGGATGTTGTAGTGAACAGGAGCTGTTCTGTGTGTATGGGTATGAACCATGCCTTGGCACCTCTGCAGGCTCAATTAGCATGGAGCTGAGCCCCAGCTAATGATGTGTATTAGGTTTGTTCCAGGGCATGATCTGCTTGGGAAAAATGGAAGGTAGGGAAGGTAATGACACAGTCTGGGTTAGAAACATCCTGAGAAGAGAAGGAAAGGTTTTATTGCTTCAGCTGGATGCCCAAGCCTGCTGCTTGCTCATGATGGGCGCATCTCTTCTGGTCTTTAAAGTATGTATGGTCTGCAATGCCTGGGTTTGAGTTCCTTAAATGTGATCTTTGGGACGCTTTGCAATGTTATTCAGGGTCTTCTGCTTTTCTTGTATTAGATCTCTGTGCTTGTGTTGCAGGATGCTTAATGACCCAGGTGTTTTGATAGCCAAAGAAAGGATGGGAAAACCCAGTAAACCAAATTTCAGTTTTGTAATGACTTCTTTGACATCATCATTGTGATGCAGATACACATTGGTTTTACATCTCTTTTTAAGCCAGTTGAAAAGCAAAACAGCCAGCATGAATATAAAGTAATATTACCCCTTTGTTCTCCTACACAGCTGGCCCATGTTAGATACTAACTTAACAGATAACTGGAGTGCATCTTTAATCCTTCAGTGCCAGGAAGCAACCCCTTGCATAGGAAATTCCTCAAAAGCTGCTCTAGGGTTGTCAGGCAGGCTGCATGGCAGGGTGAGCCCAGCATGGGGTCAAATCCTGCATAGGCTGTGACACCTGCAGCCATGGCTTTGAGCAGCCAGCATCCTTGTTCTGGCTTGGGAGGTCGATGCTGCCTCCTGCTCCCCTCCTGCACCAGCTCTTGAGCTCCCATTTGTGCACTGAGCAGTTACTAGTGGCCAGGGGAAATTTGCAGATTAATAAATTACTGTCTGTAAAACACTTTGAAGATGGAAAGCGCTGTGCAGCTCCTCAGGATTATTACTATATCGCTCTTATCCTACTGATGAGGTTCCAGTGGCCTTATTTTCCTTATGATTTGTGACAGCCCCAGAAGCTGAGGAGCTTATTTTAGTGTGTAGAGTCAAAAGAAAAATAGATTAAACTGCATTATTGTCTTCTAAAGAGACTAAATCCCTCTCCCACCATCTTCTCTTGGGATTTCCTGACTTCCTCCTACTCTTCCATCTCAGCTTCTAGCTGTCCTAATTCAGGAGGTGATTTTATAACCATGCATACCAGTTTGAGTTACTGCAGTTATGGATTTTTATGGTACCTGTGTGCATGAAGTGGTGTGATGCTGAGGTTGCATGGCCCTGAAGTGGAGGCAAATGCTGTGAAACAGAGGTGTGCAGGGTAAGGGCACATAGCATCAGCCTTCATCCTCCCTCTGCACAGCCTGAGCCATGTCAGGAGAGTGGAGAAAAGCTTGCTTCTGCTGCTTGGCTGCAGGGGGTGGTGAGGGGCAAATCTTGTGCAAGTGGCTCACTTTACATTCTGCACAATGTGCAAAATCTGTGGAAGAAAAGAGGGGACTCATTTGGGGAGTGTCACTAGGATGGTGTTCAATAGTCACTTTTGCACTGATGGTGTGGTATCTTTTACCCTGGCTCAATGCTATAATGAGGCTGCACAGCTTTAATTCCTTAAGTCCATGGCAGAGCTAGGAGCTGGGCCTGGACCTGAAGTCCCAGGCATGTGGAAGAGCCCCTGCCAGCTCAGATCCAGCTTTGTCATGGCACTAAACATGCAGACACCTCTTTGTGCTGCTTTTCCTATGGATACCTTTGCAACAGACTGTCCTGTTTCCTCTCTCTTCCTCTGCTTTATGCAGCAATTCCCTGAATGAAGTGAGATGGAAAGTAGCTATTTGCCTCTCCTTCAGGCTTTGAAGCAGTTCATACCCTACCTTCATTGTTTTGATCTCGTGGATTTCCTCCAGGAAAACATGTCAAGCTTGCTAGAGAAAGCCAAATGCTTTGGTTTTTTTTGTGTTCAGTTGCTGGAGGTAACCAAAATACTATGCCACGTTCAGTAAGCACAGCTTTAATCACAGGTAGGGCAGGCATAGAGCTGCTGTGCAGGAGATTTAAAACAAACAACAGCCACTCCTCTGTGTTACAGACTGTGCATGGCTGGGTCAGGATGCTCCAAGTCAGGAGCAGTGGGCTCCATTATGGGTTGATCACTTCTCTTTGAGCTAGGCTTTCAGAATCTAAAGTGAAACATGCTGTGTAAGTGCTTTTGGACAAGTTGAATCTTATAGTCCAAGGAGTTCTTATTTTTTTTTTCCTTTTTCCTTTCTTGTCTGTTCTGCCTATTGAAATGATAACCATTCGGAGAAAGATGCTGCTCCATCCTCAGCACCCTCTGGAGATGCTTCCATGAGGGCACCACAGCAGTGCCAGATGAGTACTGGGAGATGTGGTTAACGTGAGCCCTTCCAATTCCCACTGATTTCAGTGTGTTTGGATCTGCTTGGGGAGATCAGTCATTTGCTGTGCTCTGCGCCACCCTCCCTCTGCTGCGTTGCACCATCAGGTGGGGTACGAGCCAAGTGGGAATCACTTTCCTGCTATGCCACTGTGTTTCTCAGCTGCAGAACCCCCCTCTATAGCAGAGAGTGCCGCTGTGCGATGCTCTTGTGCAGGATGCGTGTGTGAAAGCAGAACTGCAGACCCAGTGGAGATGTGGGTGCTCCTGGCACGGGTGTGCATAGAAAGAGCTCCCACGCGTGGCAGCTGGCCACAGCTGGCACCGCCAGTGCTCTCAGAGTAGCTCCTCCATTCAGCCTGACTTCCTCTGCTTCCCACTCACTGCAAACTGCTGTGTGCCTGAAAGAGGGTGGGGGAGGCTTTTTTTTTTTTTTTTTTTTTTTAAGGTGGCAATGATTAATTCTCAGTTAATTGCTTTCCTGGACCAGCTTTCTGCCTCATTGATGCTGACGCTTGTGTCAAGCTAACTGCTGGTTTGGCTGCCCTCCACGCGCGGAGGTGAGAATGGATCAGCTTTGCTTAAAGATAGTACTGCAGAAGAAGGCAGAAAGCTGTGGGGTGCTGCAGCCCCATCCTTTATTCCTGTGAGGGGAAGAGCATCTCCCAAGTGGCAGCCCTGCTCTGCACGTTGGGCTGGCCCCCTCCTGCAGATTAGAGACTGATTTGGCAAGTGGCAGAGTAATTAGTGTAGGCATGATGGATGCCCTGTCATCAGAGTGGCTCTTTACAACTTCTGTGAAGAAATAACTAGTGGAAGCCTTTTGTTCATAGCCCCAGGGAAGGGGAAGGGAGAGATGGGGTGGAGGTGGTGTGAAGCTGGTAAAGTTCATTGCTGGAGAATTTTCCTTTAAATGGAGGTGCTGTGAGTATACTTGAAATGACTGCATAGAACTGCTGAACAGGGAAAAGGAATAGCACTTCTTGGTGTGGTTTTACTCTCCGTTTGTTATTTTTTGTTTTTATTCGCATGTTCAGTAGTCTGTGTCACCTTGAAAATCCAAATAATTGCACTGATTTTGTGTTCTAATAGGTGCTGCAGATGCATCTCAGAAGGGAGCATTTCAGATGAGTGTATTCAGTTCCGTTCCCAAGGAGTGAATGGCTGCAGTAAATTAAGGGTTGGAAAGGTTTCCAAAAGTGTGCTCACTTCTGTGCAGCCAAGCAACATCATTAGTTTTCTCTCCTTTCATTTTCTACTTTGCATCTGCAGAAGCTGCTTTCTTTGGCTTCTGGAGAGGAGTCTGTTTTGGGATGCCTGATGTTTAAGCAGCAGATTCAGAAATGGGACAGCTCAGTTTCTCTAACAGGAGAAGCTGCTGTACAGCAGTAGATACATCCCATGAGCATGAGCTGAAACACAGCCCAAGCAAGGAAGATATTTGGAGCTAACTTCTCATTCACCTGCAAGTGCACCCATCACTTTGCTGGGTTTCCATTTGTCAAGTGAAGCTCTGAAGTCAGCATGAGTGCTGCTCCCACTTGATTTTATCAGGAGCTGCTATTAACCCCAGCAATTTAGTGTAGGAAATGTTTTAAGAGAGAAGAAGATCCTAGATTCCTAGATCTAGCTAGTAAGGATAAGTGTGAATGGGTGCAAACTGACACAGCAGTGTTCGAGTTTAGGCTGCTTCCAATAACTAGAGCTGAGTTCTTGTATATTTCCTGCATGTTCTTTTCATGATGCCCTCTTGAATACCACTACTAGAGTCAGGATCTATCAGTATATGTATGTGTATGTATCAGTGTATGAATGTATGTTTATCACTAAGAGCTGAGGTACAGTGTGATGTCCTGACATTTTGAGCTGCCTCCAGTGTTGACTGACCTCCAAGCATCTGCATACTGTATAAGAAGCAAACAGGTTCTGAGTCTCCATTGTGGGTTAAACAGTGGATAGGGTGCGAAACATTAGGGTGCCCCAAAATGGAAATGCCAGTACTACTGACAGCATGGCACAGGGAGGAGGGAAGTTGTGTGGAGCACCACAACTTGTAGCCTTGGTCTGCATGTGAAGGAGGTCTCACTCAGCCTGTGCTGTTTGACATTGCTGCGGTGAGCAATGCGTAATGGCACTGCTCTGTGAGGGCAGTGCTGCCAGGGCACACCTAAACATGACCTGCATGGTGTGATGGCATCCCTGAGGTCACTTGAATTGGCCAAAAATCCCTTTGTGCCACTCTTACAGTAAAGGACAACAGACTTTTTCCTCTCTCAACTGAAAAAAACAAGGCCCATACGATGATGTATTTTTTCCTTCCCCTGCATTACTCAAAAGCAACATATTTTATTTTCATTTACTCATTCAGTTAGAACGGGTAAGTAGCTTTACAATGCTGATTTATGAACTCTTGCAAAACATAAGAGCTGGTCACGATTGCAAAATTCATTGATCTTTACTCCACGAATTTCAGTACTGTAATTTTTTATATAGTTTCTTTCCTCTCCAGCCTTGCCTTTTGAAGTAATGAGGACAATTTTCCATTTTGCAGCCCATGAGGACACTGCAAAGTCAGGTGCAGGAAAGAGAACCCCGTGACCTGATGTACAGCCCCAGGTCTGCAGGGAGACCTCATTCCTTTTGAAGGGAGAGGCTTTTTGTATGAAAACAAATGTGAATGGTAATGAAAGCTTTGTCCTGCAATTAGCAGACAGTCAGTGGCAGGCTCATTTGTCTTGTTTACTGCTCCGTGGAAGCTTGACCTAAAACAGCAGCTTAACCAGCGAGATCCAGTGTACTGGTTCCAGTTGGTTTCCAGGTTGTTTTCTACTGTGGTGGAGATGGGTGACCATGCATGGTCTAAGGCTTCCAATGCTCATTTTGGTCTCTCAAAATGCGTCTTGTCTCTGGCTGCAATAGCTGCGATCCTGCCTGGTGTTTAGTTTTGAAAGAAGTACCTGTGTGTTTGAGGTGATGGGTTATGGCACTCTCCAGTGCTTGGGGTTTGGGTTTCCTAATATCTGGGCTCTCGTTAGTCTCACCACCTCCTGCCAGCCCGTTTTGTTCTTTGTCCAGATACCCCAGGAGGAGCAGTGCAGTTTGCATTTACATGATGTATGAAACAGCCAGAAAACATTTCTATTCTTATTGGCCCAGATTTTGCCTCCCCATGACTAACCATCACTGAGCCACGAGTTAGTGGAGCTGCCTTAAAGCGCTGTGGGGCTGTCTTCTCAAAGGTTCCTCTCTTTGCTTTTTTTTTTTTTTAATTAACTATGAATTTGGGGCCAAGCTACATCCCACTGTCTATTTAAGGAAGATAAAATGCCAGAAATCCTGCTTTGGGCCTGTGAAGTCAGTTCAGAAGAATTGGGCTCAAAGAGCATATTGTATTCTGTTTTTTCCTCTCTGTCCAAGTTCCTCTAATATCTGTGAACTAGAGAAGCTTTGCAGTGCTGACTCTGAGGTGGATGCTGTGTGCTGCAATGCCTCTCCTGGGGCAGCTGCAGGCAGCACCCCTATTTGTTGGACTCATTTAGGACTCTTGAGATGTCAGGCTGCCCTGACATCTAATGCTTCCTGGCTGCTGCAAGGAGTGCGAGGGCAGCACGCTGTGCATCCTCTGCCCTGGCAGCATGGACAGTGAAGGCTGCTCTCAGGTTAGCTGGCGCCTTGTTTTGCTTGCTCTGTGTCTCTTTGTGACAGGGCATCCTTCTAGGTGGGAGGAATGGGGTGAAAAGGAGCTTATGGAGGATAAACGGATGGTGAGTGTGCTGTTTGTCCTGATCCTGTTCAATGGAAGCAATAAATAAAAAAAAAAAAACCTAAGAAAAAAATCACCTTAGAGCTGCTTTTTATTACTGCTTAATTTCTGTCAGTCTGAGTCTGCCTGGAGCTGTGCTGATTCTTGTGAATGGTACTTGGGGGATGCACCAGGAGTTGTTTTGTGATTCCCCAAGTGAACCTCCTGCTGCCTCCTCAACGCTGGCTCCCCAGCCCCCTCACCCTCCCTTCCTAGACTTTGCAATAGTCACTATGTGTCACTTGGTAGTGTTTGTACTCAGCATAGCATGCAAAGGGGTCACACAAATCCACAACAGAAAAGACAGTCCTCATTCCTAGCTGCCCTAGTCCAGGTTTCTCTTGCAGGGCAATGGTCCCTATCTCTACGGACAGGATTAACATCTGTAGTGTTCAGTTTTCTCTAGTTCAGGCACCTCTGTTCAAACAGACACCTCTGGGATTGTTTTCACCCACAGCTTATCTTCCCATTGCAGTAATGTTTAAGGTTGAGCTTTCCTGGAGCTCTCCGGGAAGCCTGGTAACAACAGTATCCTGCCACATCTATCTGCCATCAGGACAATACATTGTGAGAATCAGGAAAGTATAGGAAATGTATGAAGGAAGGTAGATGTTTACAGCTTCTCAAGAGCTGAACACTATGTTCTTGATGTGCTTTGTGAAAGCCAAGTTTGCTTTCACCTGAAAAAAATGGATTTTTCTGCCTCTCATTTTGGTGGAGGACCAAGGATGTAGGGAGTGGGTGCAGAACTGTTTTTCTTCTGTAGCTTTGCAAGCTGAGGCACTTTGTTCTTTGTGGTTGTAGAACGTTGTGATGACTGGGGTGTGGATACCATGAAACAGATCCAGATTTACGATGGGGAACCCGCCAAGATCAAATGCCCACTTTTTGAGACCTTCTTGAAGTACAACTACAGCACAGCTCATTCTGCTGGCTTAACCCTGATCTGGTACAGGATTGGGCAGGACCGAGATCTGGAGGAGCCTATTAACTTTCGTCTCCCGGATAACCGCATCAGTAAGGAGAAAGACACCCTTTGGTTCTGGCCCGCTCTCCTCAATGACACTGGGAATTACACGTGCATGCTCAGGTAGGTTGTGTGGCACAGCCTCTGTAATCGCAGGACTTTTGTGGAGGCACGAGGGCCGTGCTGTTAGTGGTGGATCTTTCTGTAGAGAGAAGAGTGTTTACATAAGCATTAATGGGAAAAGAATGTTAACATTATAAGGCCACTCAGCACTGAGCCAATTTACATTGTAATAATGCCTGGAGCCTTGCAAGCATTAATGAACATGCCTCTTCTTACTAACTACAAGTGTCCCTGAAAGTATTATTGCTGAGCCCGTGGCAAAATCCATAGGCACTCACCATTAAGAAGTGATCTGTATGTCTAGAGTAAAAATAGCTTCAGATGCAAGGGTGATGTTTTGACTGCATGATAATTTGGCAAAGATTCATGAGATCCAGACTTCTAGGAAATTAGAAGTGTCTCTAAGTGTGGTACAAAATGAAAACAGCAGCTGCTTTGCACTGAGCACAGGGGCTCTTTCTGATCTTCCTTGTGTTATCTCATGTTCATTCTGTCTTTGATGCTATTATCTGCTCTACCAGCAGGAGAGTGTATGTTGCTTCTTAGTCATGTTTATGGGCTTTTCTGAGGTGGTGTGGCCATCTCTGGAGCTTCCATTCACATATGTACATGAGTCAGCTAAGGCTGTATATGCTTCATCAAAATGGTGCAGCCAATAATGATTGCAGATGTGATCTTTATTTCATTACCCTGCTATAGGAAGAAGCTAGTCTTGTCTAATCAGCCCTCTCCTCCTCTGTCCTTAGAAACACAACTTACTGCAGCAAAGTTGCCTTTCCTTTGGAGGTTGTTCCAAAAGACCAAGGCTCTTGTGTGAGCCATTCAATAAAACCTGTTGAGCAGATGTTCTACCTGGAGTATGCTAATGAAAAGATCGTATGTCCAGACATTGATGGGTTTTACCCTGCTAGTGTAACACCAACTATCAAGTGGTACCAGGTGAGAAGCACTTTTGTCATTATTTGGGCAGAGGGGGGACTTGGTGTTGTATCTGAAAAAGCAGTGTGTGAGGTGAGAACCACGGAGCTGTATTTCAGTCTGTCCAGTGATTGAACTGTTAATGTTACTAAAGCTACAGTTAGAGCTTTGTTTGCATTGAGTTCAAGGGTAAAACTGTCTTTGGATATGAGAACAAACACTGATATTATGTATGTATATGTGTGTGTATATATATATATGTATATTTTGATTTGCGTGTATAAGTGGAGAAGACTCAAGTAAGGGATTTGGGAACTTCAGCTGGTACTATGCCTGACCTACATGGCAGACAAATTACTATTCCTGTAAATAAAATCATGACTTTGTTCCCTTTTTACTAAAAGAAGGATAAAAAACATTTTGTAAGCTAAGGAGAAAAACCTCTCCTCCAAAATCTCATGAGGTCAGGGAATGAAGTTGTAGAGTGGGGCTCTTCAAGGACCACAGATGCTATTTGCCACAAATTGGCAAACCTCTTTTCTAAAGATGGAGACATCCCTATTCCATTCCACTCTGATAGTCAGGCTGTTTCTAGCCATCCTCAGGCTCATGCCTACATAACTACTGCTAAATTGTATTAAATTTTTACTTCAGTATTTTTCCTTAGATGGATGTCTTTAGTCAAGAGAGAGTAAGGAATTCCCAGGGGATGCATAGCCAGGGGGCTCTGCTACTGAATTCTTTAACAGCTTGTAAAGCACTTCCAAATTTCAAGGTAGAAGGCACTACATGAGTGAATTTAATAGTAAAGAAAGTTGGCAATGGATATCTGCTGTTTAAAAGTAAAAATTTAAAGAATATCTAGCTCTGAAATCCTTCAGGAAGAGCTTGCTTTTGTGGCCAAGAGGAACAGTTTCATTCTGATAGTTGAAATGTCTTACTTGTACTGCTCATTAAAATTCACATTTCAACAATCAATTAGGAGGATGAAACACAAAGCCCCATGGAAATCATTTTTCAGGCAGAAAGTCATCCCATGCCTAATAAAAAACATTAAAAATGGTATATGACCCCTGTCTTAAATTGCCCCATTAGAATCTATCTCATTGGGAAATGCACCATTCAGAAATAATCTCTTTAAAAATGTGCATATCTTTGGGTTTTATGATAATGAAGATATCATCTGCTTAACTGCTTCCTGAAAAGGGATCTCTAGGTTGGTACTTGGCTGAGGTTTCCTGCCTCACCTGGCAGAGAGAGAAGAGTTACTAAAGTTTTTGTATTATAGATTCTCGTTTGCCATTTGCCAATTCTGGGGCCTCACTGACAATTGATGTCAGTCAGGGTAGCATGATTAGTCCTGAAAGCGTTAGAGATGCTGACATCAACTGGGGGACGTGTCCTTTACTCTTGGTATCCGTTTGTGAATACATCATCGTTTTTCTCCTTGTATGTTTTTGCTTCACTTTGCAGAGGTGTTCAGTTTGATTACAAATGCACTTCTAGATCAGAGCTTTATATGTCTTTGAAATTGTTTGTATTTGAGGTGGGATAAAGCTATTAGGATCATCTGCTTCATCACCTCTTTTTTGAGGTTAATAAACCAGTTTGCATTCCAGTATTCTCAGGGTTCGTAGCATTTAGGCCTGAGCTGCATCAGATACCCAAGTCTCGCATCATGTTTATAGTTTCAAAACAAATATTTGTAGTGGGATTTAAACCAAGAACTTTCTGGGTCCCAAAACACAAGTGCTTTTTCTGCCTGACTCTAGTCTTGCAGGTTAGTGGATGGCTTCAATGAACGACATCCTCAAGGGTCCAAGCTTGTCATTGGCGTTGTCCGCAGCGCATATGAAGGGAATTACACCTGCATTGTGACATTCAAGGACCATGGAAGAACATATAATCTCACCAGAACCGTAAAGATGAAGGTGGTAGGTAAGAATGACTTCAAAAAGTATAAGCTGCAGGTGGATAACAGCAGAAGTGGTGAAAACCGCTCAAGTCTGTCACGGGATCTGTTTGTGGTTGTGTTCAGTCTGTGTTACCCAGCTGAATTGTTACTGCTGTATTTTGGCTTGCTGGGGTCAGCCTTCCCTGACTGTCCAGGGCATGCTGTGTTGGAAGCGCCACTCACTACCATGTCAAATACCCCCAAAGGAACACCAAGGGTAACCAGGCTTTGGCTGATGAGATACAGCCCATGAGGTGGTTAGGGGTACCCTCTGCTGGCACATGAGTGCATAACCCTGACGCTCATTTTTGTCTCCAGTGCCCTTTGCTCATCATTATTTATGGGATTGTCCAATCATAGCCTGCTTGTTCCAATCCCCCTGCAATCTCAAAGCCTTTGTGCTGAGCTAGAATGATTTTTCATGGATGGGATTTCAGCTATCCATGCCAGTGCATGGGCAAGTCTGCACTTGTAGACAAGTATTTGGCCTACTTGCCAGTGAGTTGTAGATGGAGCTTAAAAACCAAGTGAGCGTAGAGCAAATTCTGAGTGCAAAGACAATGACAGCTTTAAGTGCATGATTAAATGCCTATGATGAGAGTTGATGTTGACATCTTATTTTTTTTTTAGGAACAGAAATAAAAAGAATTTCTGGTATAGGTTGTACTTCATGGAAGATGCTGAGTCTCAGGGGACATGGAGCTCTTCAGATGTGAGGGGCCCTGAACCTTGAATCTAGACATATCTAAACTTCGAAGGAGCCTCAAAATCTGCATCTGGCACTGTTTGGGGGCTAGGACTAGATTTCCCTTTGCTTGAAATTCTGCATTAGGATCGCATCACAAATTAGATAGCACCATATGTACCAGGGCAGGGGGGCATGGTGAGTAAAGCTGCAGGGGCTTCTCTGTTCTCTCCCACAGGATCTCCAAACAAGGCCTTGCCACCGCAGTTCACCTCCCCAAATGAAAAAGTTGTCTACGAACTGGAAGCAGGTAAATGGCAATGCCTACCATCCCTAGGGGACAGGGATGCACGGCCAGCCAGGCAGAGACTCTCCTCTCCCTCTGCTTTCCCAGTGCTTCCCTTCACTGAGCAGAGCAGCTGCCACAAGCTGTCTGGCAGATGGTTAGGGGTGCTAGTTCTCCATGGCAGAATAGGAGGGCATAGCTTTAAAGTTAATTTGTGCACACAGATTTTATTTTATTTTTTAATATTCAGGCATGGAGATAGAGGACTCCAGCGAACTGGAGCAGCTGCAGAAACAGATGAAATGAGAGCTCTTAGTTACTGAGAGCAATTCCTGTAGGACTTTGTGTCAGTCCTGACCCTGGCTGTGGTTTGTTCCAACCCTCCCTCATTCAGTGCCTTTGTGGCTTCTGCCTTCTGGCCACTTCTTTGCTCATCTCCTCTCCCTCTGGTTACTTCCTAATTAATGACAGCTCTCCATTTGCTGGCCTTACAGTATTGTGTAGTGGGATATTACACCACTTCCTCTACTCCATCTGTTTAGACTGATAGCTCTTTGGAGCAGTTCCCTATGCTGAATGGATTGTGTCCCATTACACTGCTGTAATAAATGTCATGCCAATGGTGATGATTACCAGCAGTCTTCACTCTAAAGCACTACTGAGCTCAGAAGATCAGGCTTCTGCCACACTCTGTGAGACTTGTGGGCAGACCATAACAATATTCAGGCTTCCAAGCCTGATCTGGAAGGGAAGTGGAGTGCCTGAAGGATTGTTTCCGCACCAAAATTCTTCTCTTTAAGGTCACTGTCCCCTGTGCAGTTGAAATGCTTAACACTGCCAAGGTTTCCAAGAAGTGGTTGGCGTGGAGCAGCTCTATTTGAGTCACTTGGTGCAGTCAGGGAATTTCTGGAGTATTTAGGAAAGCAGGATTTTTTTTTTCCTGTTTATTCATGTCACAAGTCAACATGTCCAGGGTATTAAACAGACATCAAATGTCTGAAAGTGTGTGTTTATCTTTTTGCTTCCTGAAGGGAGGCAGAGTTTAGTCTGATAGGGTCGCTGGAAAGCTCAGTGTAGTGCTACCTGTGCTTTGTAATACTTCACTGTGGCCATTTCTTCCCAGGAGATGATCTTGTTTTGCCCTGTGAGGTCTTTTTCACCTTTCTGAAGGACTCTCGGACTGAGGTGTGGTGGACTGTAGATGGAAAGAACACAGATGACATCATGGATGCCAAAGTCACACAAAGGTAACACTTGGTTTGTCTAACTCTGACCTGGGTCCTGCAAAGGGGTACGGGTGCAGGTGGCAGTACCATAGCCCTGCTAGAAATGTCTGTAGCACATATGTGGCTTTTTCAATCACGAGGGAAGTCTGTAGGCAGATGGTTCAAGGTAAGAAGTGTCAGATCTCCTAAGTTCCCATTGCTCTTACATTTCTACTGCAGATACTGGGGCCAAATACTAGTCTAATTTTTCTCTTGCAAGGAAATGAGTGTGGATCTCCACCTTCCCCCTCAGTCAGGAAGCCGTGTGCCTGCTCTGTGCTGCAGTGAGCTCCAGGGAGACATCATTTAAACATGTACCTTGCTTTATAGAAAGGATTGTGGGAGCTTTGTCTCCCATTTCTCATCATCACCCATTCAGATTCTACTACCAGTATAAACAGCTGATGGTACTGTGAGATTTCAGAAACAGGCAGACACAGATTTGTTTAGAGGAATGCTGTGAAATAGCTTAAATGACAAAATGTTTCAAGAGATAGAGGCTGAAAACAAATGATAGTGTTATGCGTAGTATTGATTAGGAGGAATGCAGAGAGATTCAATTATGTGAAGAATCCAAATGAGGCTCAGAGACTTGTTTACTGGGTGCTGAATTAGATATAGAAGGCTACCTGATTGGTTTGCAAACCATTGTAGAAGATAGAAAGGCAAAAGGAAATAGCTGCAAAATGAGAACAACAGTAAGTTCAGGCAGAGGGAGACTTCAAAGTGACTTATCCAGGGTTGCACAGGGAAAGTGGAGTGGAGTTGGAATCCTGAGTTCATGGGATCTATTGCTTTGTAGACAAGAACTTTTTTTTTTTCTTTCTAACATAAATCAACACATCTGCAGTGGGGGAAAAATGAGTGAGTGACTGAATGGCAGAACTCAGAGGGCTGTGATAAGCTGGTGGTCTAGATGGCCTGCAGATAGCAGTGTCCCCCAGGGATCAGTACTGGGTTCAGTCTTCTGCAATTTACTCATCAGTGACCTGGATGAAGGTCTAAGTGTTCAAGTATGTAATGCTCTAGTTTTCCTCTTGCAGCGAAATTCCTAGAAGTTTTGAAGACAAAACTATCATAAGGACTCTAACAGTTGCAAAAGCCACACCAGAGGACTTGAAACGCAATTACACTTGCTATGCCAGAAATGCCAGAGGGGAAGGCCATAGCCAGGCCATAGTGCGCATGAAAGGTAAAGTACTTGCAGAGCATGGTGATGAATTGAGGTACATTCACACTGGGCTGTCCATCCTGCCTTAAGCCTTGCCCTGCAAAACAGTAGGGGAACAATTATTTCATTCAGGCTTTTTTTTTTTTTTTTCCAACACACACTACTCTATGCATAGATGTATTATAGCTGCTGATATTACATTTGGTGGTGGAGATCAAAATATGCATGTCTCATATGCCTGTGACATGGTCTACTGGCTGGTGAGAAAGAGAGGGGTAGAACCTTTCTCACAACATCCGTGTACTACAGCTGATGTATGCTCAAGCTGATGCGAACTGGGTGGTTTGAAATGTTTTCAGATTAGTTTTTTGTATGAGACTTGCTGCCTGCTGGCATCCTGCAGAAGGGGCACTGCACTCTGATGTTACATGAGAAGTGAGGTGATCTGACCACGATGCTCTGTGATTTTACTCTTTGTTGTGATAATGCTCCAATCTAGATACAACCACCTCAGTGTGGTAGGCGTGGATTGTTCAAGCTTTATTCAGAGTGCATTTTTTTCCTACATCTTTTTTCTTCAAAGGTATTTCTTCTTATTTCACAGACCCACCTTTCAGTAATAAGTACTGCGCCTTTAGTATAGGTATATAAGTTTTCATGAGTAAGTGGATATTCTGCTGCTTTATCAACCTCATCTAGAGCTTCAGTACAGCTTGCTGTAGAACAGACCCTCACCTCCCTTCTCTCCTACGAGATTCTGGTCTGCCTTGTGGAGATCATGCTAGACACGTTCTTCCTCCCACTTTTCCCTGTTAGGATGAGAAAGCTCACGGAGATCTATTCTAGAAGAGTTCTTTCTCTTCTTTCTTAGTCTCTGTCCTCTTTCATTTTTAGTCCCATTCATTTGAAATGAACCTTTTCTGGATCACTAGGAAGGAACAATAGACCAAACAGAACTGAAAGACTGAGGCCATCTGCTAGTGCATTTACCCTGCATGATTCTTCTGTGATGATAATGATTGTATATGTAGCAGCCTTCAAATTCTTTCCCCAGACAGCAGTGCCTAAGTGCTGTATCTAGTGAACTGGTCTGCTCTATCCTCTTCCTCCCACATTTGCTCCTGCAGCAGTTGAGTGGGTTTGCTCTGAGCAGATTTGGTTACTCACAACCCCTCCTTTCTGCTCTGTTCCACAGAAACTTGCAAGATTCGGCCTCAAGCACTGCTGGCAGAACAACCTTGAACTAAGCTCACTGCAGACCATTCTACTGGGCATAGGAATACCAGGCATCCTAGAACCTAACCCCTTTCCACTTACCTTCCAGTTTTTAGCAAGTAGTTGTATACGTTGGCTGCAGCTATTTCATTACGTTAGGTTATATAAATTTCCTGATTTTTTTTTTTTCTTTTTTTTTTTTCTGGATGCTTTCCCTTCTTTTCCTTGTACTTCTGCTGCTCATCACCTAATGAAACTTGTTAAATTCCTTGCGTTTTCTCTTTGGTAATTAAGTTTCCAATAAAATTTAATAGATCTTGAAATTTGGTGATGCTTCCATTCACTGCTCACATCATGCAGTTTGCCAGCATGCATATGAGCTGCCACATGAGTCACTATTTAAAAAAAAAAAAAAAAAAAGTTGTCCAGGATTGCAGCTTTTTCTGCCCATAACACAAAGAAGCAGCAACATCATCACAGATACCATATGAATTGGAAGGGAGGCTGTGATCTTTTTTTGTTGCTCACAGGGTTGTCTTTGTTTGCAAACGCTTCAGCTTTTCTGATATGAACTGATTCTTCCTTTGTGATAGGAAACGGTCAGGTCAAGGCTAGTTATATCCTTTTTGTCATTCAGGGCTGCGATATGAGAACTGTGGATGTGTGATGGGGAGGGAAAGTAGTGGTCTTTATGTTGTTGCAGGTGAGCTTTGGCTGACTCTTCTAGAAGTATGTGTTGCCCAAAGATGTTGCATATCCTGGCTTTGGGCTATGCAAGTGATTTCCATCTATGGGTCTGCTGTCACATGTCCCGCCAGACAAGCTTTGGTTTGGCCACTTTTGTCTGAAGGGCCAGCTTGGCTCTTGGCTTTTATTTCCCAGTGTTCCTTTGCATCATTTGACTACATATAGCACATGCTTGATCCTTCTTAGCTGAAGTTGCAGCCCATTTGGTAAACTTGTCCTCTTGTTCTTTTTTGCATCCAGTTGCAGCACCGAAGTACACTGTGGAGCTGGCTTGTGGACTGGGAGCAACCATCCTGCTCGTCGTGGTGCTGATCGTCATCTATCATGTTTATTGGCTTGAAATGGTCCTCTTCTATCGAGCTCATTTTGGAACAGATGAAACCATTCTAGGTAAAGAGTTAAAAGGCTTGTTTTATAAGTAAATGCCTGGCTTCTCTGATTCTATGCAGGGATTCTCAAATCAGGAGCTATTTGCTTTAAAATGCTTTGGGAAGGCATCCAAAAGGATGAGATGATTAAGCGTCCTTCTTCCTTAGTATGACTACATCTTCCCTGTGTTACTGGGAATTTCTCTTTGTGGTGATGTTGCTGCAGTTTTTTGTCTTCAGCAGCCCAATGGTGTCTGGGTACCTTCACATTCAGCCTGGGCAATCAGAGGCAGCATTGCTGCCTTAGAGTTACGGAAATTGATGTCTTGATCTGGGCTCAAATCGATGTATATATATATCAATTATATAATTTATATTTACTTTCCCCTTAAGAAAATCAAAGACTCAGCATGCGCAGTATCACAAGTGTTTCTTCTGCTGTTTGTGTTTCTCTGCACTCTCTCAATGCTCAGATGGGAAGGAGTATGATGTGTATGTCTCCTATGCACGCAATGCGGAGGAGGAAGAATTTGTGCTGCTGACACTGCGAGGAGTCCTGGAAAATGAGTTTGGGTACAAGCTGTGTATCTTCGACAGAGACAGCCTCCCTGGGGGAAGTGAGTACTTCACAGGGGCCTGTGAAGCTCCTCTTCTTTCTTGGTTCTTTGAGGTACTGATCATAAACTCATAGAATGAGTGGCTTGGGTTGGAGGGGACCTTAAAGATCAAGTTCCAGTCCCCCTGCAGGGGTAACTGATAAGAGCTGGTCATTCCAGACTAGCTATTATCCTCCCCCTCTCCAAGAACAATCTTTTGTTGGTGTCTTCTAATGTTTTTGCTGCATGTGACAATGTCACAGATGTCCACAGAAGATTTTCTGATGGCCTGGAACAAGCGGTCATTTCACTTGCTTTCTCCAAGAGTGATGTGTGGGAGTAGTTGATTTATCAGCAGAGGAAACATCCACTGACATTCACATAACCTCTGAGCTGGTTTAGGAAAGGGGGGATAAAGTCAAGGCTTTAAAAAATAAGTAAATAGAGAAGTGTGATGCTGGACTGGGCTGCTAGCTCGCATAGGGCATAAGTGAATGCCTGGAAGAACCAGCAGAGCCTGCTTCAGGGAGATGTGGAGTGTGCCCTGCCAGCATCTCTGAGATGAAAACATGCCCTCCCAGGAGGCCTGCTACTCACCTTCATGAATTAGAAAATCTGTGTCTAACATAGCATAAAAATTAGTTGTTATGGTTAAGAATTTCTTGTTGCATGTAGGATGCAGAAAGTCACCCAGAATGGAAGTTTGTGAAACTGGCACTGACAGAGCATCTTCCACCTCTCAGCTGCCTAAGATTGCTGTGGGCCAGAAGCATACTCACCAACTTTATGTCACTCTTTCCTCTGGAGAGTTTCATTTTCTTTCCAGCAGAGCAGTCCTGAGCTCCCTTGCCCTTCACCATCACTAAAAGTGCTCCTATCCCAGCTCACTGCCACTACCAGCCTCAATCCAGCGAGCTCTGAGGACCAGCCCAGCTGAGGTCTATCTTGCTGGCTCATGGCTGCTATTAGCAATGCTGCTGGATCCTCCCCACTGCTTCTGAGCTAGGATTTGACTTATCTTCTTGAGGAAGCACAGCAGACCAGGAAATAGCTTGTGGCAGCTGGTGCCATGCCTCTGGAGTGTACATCTGTGTTGCTGGGAGACTTATGTTGTCCTTGGTGAAGGAACAGTAGGAGATTGATTATCCTATGACTTTGCTGACAGGAACTAATCAAATGTGCTTGACAGCTAAATGAAGTTGCCTGTCAGTGTTATTTTATTCTCCATTGTGTTTTCTGACCACTCAAGAACATTCTATTGACAGTGCAGTGTGGGAGACCCTGCAGCAGAGAGAGCAAGCACTGGGATTTGTGCTTACAGGGGATTTTCACATTAATTACAGAAAGGTGGCTAAGGACAATCTACATGCAGGTTTAGAAAATCAAAGATGATCCACAGTTACCATGGTATTTGTCATTTTTGGACGCATCACTAAAAGTCCTCTGAATAGTTTACATGTCACTTTTAGCAACACTGAGATCTACTTTCATCAATGGTAGCAACAGGAACAACTAGTGTAAAGTCTGTTGATATAACAGTATTTCCAAAGTACATGAACCCACAAGAAACATAGAGGTTCCTCTATTGGACCATGTGCTAGGAGTTCTTGCAGAACTTGAGAATCACCAGCATGGTCTATGGAAAGGGCATCTGAAGTATTTTATCGTCCCCTTCTAAAAGCTATGTGGAATCACATGAGCAGTTCAGCAGCCTGTTCTCAGCCATCACTAACCACCCTAATGTTTCTTTCTCCCAGTTGTCACAGACGAAACCCTGAGCTTCATCCAGAAAAGCCAACGTCTGCTTGTTGTCCTGAGCCCCAACTACGTCATGCAGGGGACACAGGCCCTGCTGGAGCTCAAGGCTGGTCTAGAGAATATGGCCTCCAAGGGCAACATCAAAGTTATTCTAGTGCAGTACAAAGTCATCAAGAAGAGCAAAGTGAAGGAGCTGAAGCAGGCCAAGGCGGCCTTGACTATCATTAAGTGGAAAGGAGAGAAATCGAAGTTCCCAAAAGGCAGGTTCTGGAAAGAGCTACAGCTGGAACTGCCAGTAAAAAAAATTATCAGGAGTTCGAGCCTTGATCGGCAAGAGCCATCGTATGTCTCCCTAAGAAATGTTTGATGCCATTAGCAAAACAAACAAACAAATCACAATCCAGAGCCCACCCACAGAACAGAAAAACCCACAAAAAATATAGAAGTTAGGCCAGGGACTGGGGAGGAGCTCAAGCTAGGTCTATGTCCCATGTGTTTCAGAGGACAGTTGTGCCTCCCTACAGCTTTTCTACTGTCCTGGCACTAGAAAGACCAAAGATACATATGCTTTTCTCTGTGATTGTATGCCCTTGTAATGAACCACAGAAGTCCTGATCTCAGGGTCTCTGTCTGGGGTCTTCAGATGGGGTGCAGCCAGCACCTTGTCATAATGTGGCCTTTGTACATGCCAGTTCTTCTTGATCCAGTTCCTATGGGACATTTCTTAGATTCCAAGACAGGGCTTCTTTCTTCTTCTCCATTCACTCCCTCCTGATTGTTGGTCCCTGTAACACAGGCTGGGATTCAATTTGAATGGAACATAGAGCCTTTCATTTTGACCTGGGCAGCAATAAACCAGATGAGGTTTAAAAAAAGAAAGTGTAGAATTTTGCACCTGGGAAGGAATAACTGTGAGTATCAATACAGATTGGAGGATAACCTGCTGGAGAGGAGCTCTGGGGAGAAGGACCTGGGGGTCCTGGTGGACAACAGGTTGGAGATGATCCAGCAGTGTGTCCAGGGATCCTGGGGTGCATTAAAAGGAGCATGGCCAGCAGGTCAAGGGAGGTTGATCCTCCCCTTCTACTCTGTCCTTGACAGGCCTCACCTGGAGTACTGTATCTAGTTCTGGGTACAAAAAAGATGGGGATCTCCTCAAGAGGGGCCAGCAGAAGGCCACAGAGATGATAAAGTGCCTGGAGCATCTCTCCTATGAGGAAAGGCTGAGCGAAGTGGGTCTGTTCAGCCTTGACAAAAGAAGACTCAGAAGTGATCTTATTAAGGTTTATAAGTATCTTAAGTGTGGGAGTCGAAGAGACATGGCCAATCTCTTTTCAGCAGTCTATAAGGATAGGACAAAGGGAAACAGCCATAAACTTGAGTACAGGAAATTTTGCACCAGTATGCAAGGGAACTTCTTCACAGTGAGGGTGATGGAGCACTGTACCAGGCTGCCAAGGAGGTTGTGGATTCTTCTTTTCTGGAGGTATTCAAGACCTACCTGAATGTCTACCTGTGTAGCGTGCTGTAGGGGGCCTGCTTTGCAGGGGGGTTGGACTCGATGATTTCTGGAGATCCCTTCCAACCCCTGCAATGCTGTGATCAGTGTCCCAGCCCTGCAATCCTGATTGCTATGGGACTGCACATTTCTGCATTGATGGGGGAAGCATAAACTCTTGAATCTCCTCATCTTCTCTGTGTACATTTCTATAGAAGCAGTTGCAGATAATTTAGCAATGTGGAATTGCTGTTACAGAAGCAGTGTACATATACGTTTTTTAAACATGCTCTTCTAGGTGCTATTTGTATTGTAGCATTTCTACTAATAAGAGGTCTGTCTCTAGGACTCTCCAATCTTCTGAGCATCTTAAATCCTTCAGGACTATAATGTTTGTAATCTAGGGAATAGCTCTCACTAGCCCAGGTCATCTCTGAGAGGTTCTTCTTTGAAGAGTAAGCTCAGGGATTTCACAAGCACTGCAAAGAATCCTAGTATACTACTGATCCCACCTGCTGTCTCTGTGCTGCTGGCTGGGGAAAGCATTGTGCATGGTGCTGCTGGAGGCTTTGAGAGAACAGTGGTTATATGCCCAACTCTCCAGGGAATCCAGCAAAAGTACTTGAGCTCATTGAAAGCTCCATCCAGCTGGGTAAGACTTGGTGTGCTCTGCCTGGGTCTGAATAACATAGCTGTTTGTCATTTGGGGCTGAGGTTTAAACTGGCCTTGGTTTTACACAGCAAACTTTCACCCCTCTTGTTTCTAATTGCTGAACTGGGAGTGTATTTCAGGTTCTGCAATTTTTGCACAAAATGGAAGTATGAAACCCACTGAGTACAAGCCCTTGCTTCAATAGAAGGCAAGAGGCGTAGGAAAATACCTTGTGGATTAACCCCCAGCACACGAGACTTTCAGCACAGTAATGGGGGCTGTAGGACAGACCAAAGCACAGCAGGACCCTAGCATTAATTGGTGCTGTTATTCATAACGTTTCTACATAATACTATAAGCTCCAGGGGTGTCTGTTCTCCTGCAGCTCCCCTTACAAGGGCCTTCTAACTTAATTGTGGTATTCAGTACTACACATACTAAGTGCATGCTTATTTTTTTTGTAGATAATGGGTGCTCCTGAGTCACTTCTGACTCATGGTTTCTCTCCATTGGTGTTCAATGGGTGAAGCATAGCTATTGATAATGGCATTAAAAAAGCATTATGAGATGGTGTCTACGCACTATTCACTCAGCTGGCAGTGAGGTTTGAGGGTATTCTGGGGATCAGCCCATTCCAGCCTTGAAGCTGAGTCCTAGAGTCAGCAAAGGCCTTGCTTGTAGCCTTTTGTGCTTAATAGTGTTGTGGCAGGGCAGCAGGCAGACCCAGCCACCTGCATCATTGAGGCAAGTACTGTACCAACGTGGAACATATAGCAGTTCCTTTTTTCCCACCTCCTTTTCCATCCCTTACCCGCTCTCCCCCTCACTCACAAAGCAAGTAAATTTTGCTTTAAGCACGTGAAAAATTGCAGTCGGCTTCACTGAAGGTCATGGAGCTCCTCATCTGCTCAGGATATGTAAAAGCTTTGCTGTTGCTGAACCTTGTTTCCATGGCGGTTGGTGTAGAGGCAAAGCTGCTTCCCACACTCCAGCAAGCTTCATTGACAGGAGGTAGCAACCAAGGCCATGCTAAGCTTCTTGAATCCATTGTAACTGCATCATTTTGCCCAGCTTTCCATTTTTGTTAGAGATTTCGGCATCAGTGTGATCAGCTGCAAGATATGCAGGCAAAGGGAAGGCCACGAGGCCAAAGCAAGACTGTGTTAGAGTCTAACGTGATTGTTAAAAATTTGACTTAAAAATATACATCACCATGGGCCTTATGGGGATCTTCCAGGCCAGGGGTGGTCCCCAGTCCCTGCTGCATTGTCAACCTGAGAACTGCTCTGGTACACCTACCATTTCATCCGGTGCTCCATCTGGTTTCTGTGATGGCTTCTGTCACAACGTCTGTCCAGTTCCCTTGATTCTTTTATGTCTCCGTGCCTTAACCTAACATTTATCAACATGCAGCTCATACAGAGTTCCTTGTTATTTCCTAGAGAAACAGCCTTGCACGAATTGGAAATAATATTTCTTTCCTTATACTGTTTGATGTCACGTAGCCGTTACAGAGTTTCCCCTTCTCTTTTCTGTACATTTTTGACTTCGTGTTATTTGACCTGTGAAGCGTCAGTATTATTTTATTTTGCTTTTCAATAAAACATTTTCACCTTTGCATTTCAGTCCTTGTGCATTTGTCATGAGTATCATTTTCCTCCCCATTACATCTACAAAAGGGTGTTAAAGAAAGGTGTATGTCTAAATATCAGGATTGTTTGGGGATGCTGTTTTAGAGGGGGGGGGGGTGGCTGTTTCATGATGTGCCTGCGCAGATCACGTCACCCAGAAATGAATATGCACACACAGAAAGCCTCTAACCCATAGAGCTATCACAGGACAGAAAATGTGAAGGAAACACCATCCTTTAGGTTGAGCAATGAGCTGGAGTTCTGGAAATGTGTCTGCCTTATGCAGAGAAATCAGACTTAGGCTGCTTTGCCCATCACCTTCAGTTAGCTGGACTAAAAAAGTTTGTCAGTGTTTTTTTTTTTTTCCTTCTTTTTCTCATCTGAGCTACTTTCTTAACTTTTTCCTTTGTATGGTAGCAGGTAAGTTCAGAGAGCGCCCAAGACTTCAAGACCACTAGTGAAACAAATGGAACCATAGAATCTTTTGAGTTGGAAGGGACCCTTAAAGATCATCTAGTCCAACTCCCCTGAAATGAACAAGGAAACACTTGTGATGATCTCACATGTCTTCGTCAGCCAAGTCCAAAGGCATCCCATTCTCAGGAATAAAACACATCTTCAGGAATTTGAACATCTTGCCTGTGAATCTCAAAATGTTGCATATTTAAAATGGATAAAAGAAAACCATTGCTGTCAGCTCAGTGAAAACGCTTTATTTCAGCAGTTTTGGAATCATTCACATTAGTTGAACCTGTTCTTTGTGTGCAGGCGGGTGGAACAGGTGACCTCCCAGGGGCTGCTTCTGCCTACGTTTCTCTGTGATTCTGTGATTCCACTTTCAAAAAGAAAAACCTTTCAAGCCAGCAAAGGAGCTTTTTCTTTCAGAAGATGTTGAAGCTTGACTGATTTCAAAATAGATCTCAGTTAGTTATAGAAAGGTTTGAATGAGGCCTGGACTCAGTCAATTAGGAGATTGGTGCAGATTTTTTATACCTTTGAAATAGAGTGGTTAGAGCACTCTGCAGCTTTAAGTGACAATTCTGACAGAGCTAGCTTTATCATCTACTTCTGATTTCAATGAATCAGTGTTTTCCTGTATATGGGGGGGGATCCCCATAAAACTTTTGTACAAGTTCAATTCAAATTCCATTGTTAAAGAACAAAACAAAGTGCCCTACTTCCTCCAATAGGATATTAAGGCTTAATTGTTCAATCATTTTTCCTATCCTGAGTCCCCAGTCCCTAAATAATCTAGGGACAATGTGGTTTACAGCTAGTCATGTCTTTGAAGAAGCATTTATTTTTATGGTCTTAAAATAAGATGCATTCAGGTGCAACACAGTGCACCTACTGCTGTGAGATAAGGAAATGTTCGAGAAAGCCAAGGATTGCAAGAATAACGGCATGACCATCATGTGGAAGGAGTGGTATTGTTATTTATATGAACCTCAGCTGACAGAAGGGAGCTTGACACTGCTGCCATTCCTCTGCGGGGCAAAGACCTGGCCCCTCTGCAGGCTTGAAGCTGAGCTCTCCTCACTGCCACAACCCTTCACATACCAGGAGGCTTTTCTTGCTGCTTACCAGTGCTCCTGTCCTGCTCAAACACTCTATGTCCTCAGGTACCCCCCACTGTCAGCACCAGCATGCAGGAAGTTAGTGGCCTCATACCTTTTTTTTTTTTTTTTTTTTTTTTTTTAAGTTTCATGGTTCTGTTAGTCAGCTGGAATTAATTGCTAAGTGCCACAGCCCTATTAATTCCTATCCTTTCTGCTGCTCACCCGTTAGCCATGACACCTTCAATATGCTTACTGCATCCCAAACCATAGATAGAACTTCAAGGACATCTTTTAGGTTTGCTGTTTTTCAGTGCTCATGATGAAAGAGATGCTGCCCTTGTCTGGCACCGTTCCAACCGAGCATCTTGCTGAGCTGTACAAGCTCCAATCAACCCCAAGAAAAGCTTTGAAGGACAGTATTTTCATTCCCCCACATTGCAGAGAAGGGATTTGACGGGGACGTTTAAGGCTGACATTTTCCGCTTTCTAAGTTTGAAGGCTTCCATTTTGGGATGAGCAGCGTGAGAGGGAGGGAAGCGGGCCTTAGCCTTGATGGCATGGTGGGGCAATTGGTTCCTCTTGGTGCAAGGGGCTGCCCGAGCTGCAGGCAGGTGACCCCAGTCAAGACCTTTGTTTTACAAAACTGCCGTGGCAGCAGCGATGGCATGCAGTGCTGAATCAGAGTATGGTCCCAGCTTGTCCCGTTGCTCTGGCCACTCATTTACCACTTCAGCTTTCTCAAAAGCCAAATGCAAAGCAAAAATGCTGATGTTGCTCCTGCGGGGCCAGCTGGCAGGAGCGTAGGTCACCAAGAAGAAATTCACTGGGCTTGTGCCAGGCCTTCGGTGGGGAGGGGGAAATTTGTGCAGGTTTGCCATCAAACAGCAGATGGTGTTCTGGCTTTTCTCTCCCTGCACCCCGACCCTTGTGCACCCCAACTCCTCTCCCTTACGCTCTTAGATACCACCGAAGCGGTGTTTGACTTCATCCAGAGGAGCCGCAGGATGATCGTGGTGCTGAGCCCTGATTACCTGACGGAGAAGAGCATCAGCCTGCTGGAGTTCAAGCTGGGCATCATGTGCCAGAACACCATCGCCACCAAGCTCATCGTGGTGGAGTACAGGCCGCTGCAGTGCACCCACCCCAGCATCCTCCAGCTGAAGGAGTCCGTCTCCTTCGTCACCTGGAAGGGAGAGAAGTCCAAGCGCTCGGGCTCGCACTTCTGGAAGGCCTTGCGTCTTGCGCTGCCACTGCGCAGCCTGAGTGCTGGCTCTGGCTGGAACGAGAGCTGCTCCTCCCAGTCTGACATCAGCCCCGATCCCGTCCAGAGGAGAAAGAGCCGGTTGAAAGGTCGGCCTGAGCCACAGGGAGCCCTCACACCCCCAGCCTCCACACCGAAGGCCAAGCACCGGGCCTCACGCTTCTTGATCTGCCAGTGCTGCGGGACCTACTGCCATGGCGGCAGCAGACTGAAGCGCAAGCGGCGGGCAGTGGCTGAGCCCAGGTGGGAGACCCACCTCTGCAAGGCTGAAGGGCGAGGGGGGCCAGGCAGGAGCCGCCCCGAGCCCCCGCCTGCACAGGGCCCAGCTCTCGCCCTCTGCCATTACAGCGATCTATCAAACAACAATGACTTCTACGTCCTCTAGCTGAGAGACGGAGGTTGGTGGCACTACAGGTGCTGGGCCCATGGAAGACATTCACCGGAGCCTCTGATGTGACATTTATGCAGTATCAGAGGCAGATCCAGTGTCTTTCTACACTGCCTCACTCGCTGTCAGGCACAAAGGACTGCAGCAACATCCCAGCTGTCTTGCTGCTGCTGGTCTGAGCCAGGGACCTGCAATGGCATGCAGAGCAGCAGTCAGGGCTGCTTATGTTGGAGAGCCCTTCTCCTTAACTACATCACCAAGTGGAGCTGAGCATGCCTGAGCATCTCCTCAGCATTTCTTGTGGAAGGGCAGGTCCTGCTGGCACGGTGGGATGGATGCAGGGATGCAGGAAGGGAGGCAGAAGCCGGTGCACATGGGGGGAACACCCAGGGAAGGAGAAGGAGAAGGGTTTGGCAAACAACACTTTGCTAATGAGCTCAATGGGAGCCCAGCCATGCAGGAGTGCACCGTGCAGCATGGTGCTTTATCCACTGTGGTTTAAAAGAACTTGGTCAAACGTTTTAAATCCCTTCTCTCTGAATAAAAGTGAGTTCTTTAACCTGCTGTTGTTACCTGTGGTCTCAGGAAATGGTAAGTGCTGGAGCCTTGCTCACCAGGCAGCACCTGTGAGGTGATTTGCCCACTCTGATGGAGGACACCCTGGTCCCAGTACACCCAGTCTCTTGCTGGACTTGGTCCCTTCCTGGCTTCTCCAGTGATGAATTTGTTCTGCAGCTGTATGGTTGGTTCTGGTCAGTCTGACTTTGCTCTCTTGGGTTTCCAAGGATGTTCCTATATTTTTCCTGCCTTGGAAATGTGACCAGAACCCCCAGGGTACACAGAGTGTGTGGCTGCCAGAACAGACCCCAATTTGATGTCCTCAGATGCAACACTGATAAAATTGCTTGAGCAATTGAGGAGCCACATTTCACCCATGTTGATACTGCTGAAATCATTATGATTCATACACCATTTTCCTTCTCTCACCAGCACCTCTTTCCCAGCAGTGCCCCATCTTTTTTTAACCCTTTATTTTGGATATCAAGCAAAGCTGATTGCTTTCCCGTTACAAGGCACTGTAATCTTACCAGCCTTGCTGCAGCAGACCAAGAAAATGGAAACCAAAGCATGGGTGCTGAGTAGACTAAGTAAAATAAAGGCAAAAACACCCAACCAGCTCATGAGAGATAGAATATTAGACTCTAAAGAACTGTCCAGGCACAGGTTCCTTGGTAATCTCAGGCTGATGCATTTTAAATGGCTCAGATGTTTTGTCCATATGTAGCCATTCTGAATGATGAAATAGGATGGGGATGAATGAGATATTTGGAAAGTGAGTTGATAAACTGCAAAATGCTTTGTGAGAAGTTATCAAAATAATATTAATTGGTTAAATGGTTCCAGTTGCCCTGAAATAGTCTGTCAGTGAGTCTGGCGGAGCTGAAAACAAGAGCGACAGAATTCAAATAGCTTGCAATCAATCAACCTCCAGAGCCAATCTTTGCTATTTGTTGACATATAAACAGCCTTTATGTACCATGGCTGCTCCAAAAGTAATGCCACCTACTTTATGATATTGTTGGATGATGTCAGAAGCATATATTGATGGTATGGAAGTGGAGATTGATCCTTCCCACCAATACTCTATTACATTTTGTTGCAATGTGACAGATGACAACAGAGGAACAGTCTGACAAAGTGGAATCTGACATGGAAGTGTGTATGAAGCAAAGGTGTGTTACTGAATTCCTCCATGCAGAAAAAATTGCACTTACTGACATTCATT